TTGTGATATGCATATTTCTGGCAGAGAGGGCTCCTTCGAAACTAGAAGATGGCCTAAGAAACTGCGTCAGGGGCGCGACTAGTGTCAGTGTCTCAAAGATACCATTTCGCATTCGAAGGCAGCTTCCGGCTTCTTCGCGCTTAAAGAGCCAACATCAGAAGTTCTGGGGGGTGTTGATTCACATCTTAGAGGAGACACTGGGCCCGAAGCAGGGACCCTGAAACCTCATCCCTGAACCCAAGAAAGGCTCTGTTGGACCAGGTTCGTGCTTCAGAACTTGTCTCTGAGAGGGAGGAAGCAAAGAACCCGGCCAGATGCTTAGGGCGGTGTGTATGGTCAGGAACCTAATCGGGCACATAGCAACGCCTTCCAGGATTCTTGGAAGAAGAGTATCTGCCATTCCAAGGCTCACCTTTCAATTCCTCACAGTCGGAGTTTTTCATAGTTCATCGCTTGGTCATGTGATCGAGTCTTTTGTCAACGCGGATTTGAAGGCGTTGGGCAGCTTAGGGTCAAGATCCGCGAGTCGGCCAACCACAAGGGAGCATGCTGGAGCTTATTTTGAGGTTTGTTCGGTGACTTTTATATTCCGTGATTCAAAGCCTGCAAGTATTGCCTGCTGTGTAGTTTTCTGGTTTCTCGTTGATTTTTCTCGGCGTTGTCTTTGCGATTTGGATTTGTGTTTTGCTTGCTCCTCTGACATTTCAATGATATTGAGCAGAGGTTGACGTTTTTTCTTTTGTGATTCGGATGTATGTATTTCCCTAGTGGAGGCAGTCACCAGGGGTGTCGCCCTAGTTTAGGAGGTATCTGTCGGTCCAGGAATCCCGACTTATCGGAAGTTATTGAACATCAGAGGTGGAACCTGCAAAAGAATTCTGAAACCATGTACATGGCTGCTGGCAGTTTTGAATATGGAGCCCAGGGTCTTGAGCCTTCCTCTGGTCCACACGTCAATAGAGTGTTTTTAGGTTTTCAGTCCGCTGACCAGCGGGGTTGGGGGACCTCCAGACGAAGAGATCCCGAAGTCAGGTGGTCAGCTGGGCTGTTATTGTAGGAGTATAAGGGAATAATGGGGATTACTAGGTTACCTACCCCCTTGGACCACCCCCCTTAAGGACATCCTAATGTTTTGAGTTTCTTCAGCTCTTATTGCTAGCGCACAATAGAATGCTAAGCAAGGGTTGGGACCTAGGGTCGTACTGCTTTTAGACCCGGACCAGGCAGGTATCGCATATTCTAGATCTTGTTTTTGGAGATCCCCATATATATGTATATGCGCCAAAGACCAATAATTCATGTGAACTGGCTCAGTCTGAACTCGAGGGAATGGATCACTCCAAGCTCGAGGGAAGGTTTCCTTTTTCCCATCCAATCTGCCGGACCATGCCCTGATACAAATTATATAGGGGAGAATGAAATAGAAAATCGAAACTACTATCCCTAAACCCTAAACCCTGCATCCTGAACCCTAAATTACTATTGGTGTTTTTGCCAGCGAGGTTCTCCGAGCTTTCGATCTCCTGGAAGTCAGTACTCCCTCTGCCAAGCGCCCGTCGTCGAGGACCGTGCCTTCTCCACAAGTCATCCGAGGAACAGGTCTTTCTGTTTGGGTCTGGTAGAGGTCACTTGAACTGTCAGGCTTCTTTTGCTGAATGTGGTGTTCAGCAGAGCACGGCATGTGCTGACTTGGACGAGACAAGGGCTGAAGTTTCACGCGGTCCTAGGCCCCAGATTCGTTCGTTTCATTGTGAGTTGTTGACTACTGTGCACCTCTTCCAGGGCAGCTGATTTCTGACAGGTCGCTCCAGCTTAGGAACTCCCATCACGGTTCCGAGAAGTATGTTCCTCATAATATCAGCAGCATTTCTGCAGTCGTGCTTGGAGTAGTCCTCGCTCACGTTGTGGCTTCTTCTGCTCGAGTATTGCCAGCATTTAGATCATGCCGAAGGTCAGACTGACGGAAGGGCTTTTAAAGCCTCCATGCTGCTCCATCTTGCAGGAGTGGGGCCTCAACTCCAAAAGATCGCAGATGCCCCAGCACAATTGACGAACTCTCACTGCTTCTCTGCAGTGGCGCGTTGCTGCGGCAAAGAGCTCACTGTTGCAAGTTCAAGGTTCATTGGCAGAGGCATAGAGGGTCTTTTGGTGCACTTTCATGGACGACCGTTTCGCTTGTTTAGTGAGCTGTTGCCAAGTCATACTATCATTTGGAGTGCGTGCCCCTCCAACCGTTTTATGTGTTGGGCAGAAGTTTAAGGACGAGGATTAGGATTAGGCCCAGCGAGCTTTTTCAGCATGCCAGGGTACGCAAGCATGGGATATCCCTACCTTCTCATGAGAACGTTCGTTTGTGGGTCTTGCAAAGCAGGTGTTTGTTCCAGGCGCTCAGCTGTTCAGTCTTGCCTGAGGGATTTTCAGACTTGATCAGTGCGTGAGACATGTATATACAGGCCTTTGGAATTTCGTCAGGTCATGTCCAACACGAAGTCGGCACATGTAGTTGGGGCACTGCTAGCCTGGGATTCTGAGGCCTATAAGTTTCGCACCTCCCTCAATCCAAGCCCTTCATCTGCAAGCCCGAACTTTAGATCTTTCTGATGAGGTGCAGGGGCCCCTGCTGCTTCGACACCCACTCGAGTGCCTGGCAGCCGAGGCTCCATGTTGAGGACATTCACCACTTAAAGGTTGAGATATTCGACAGTTTGGGCTGAGGGGGGCTCCCACGATCTAATTCTTGTTTCTGATCTGTTAACTCGTGGTTCCGGTCTGCACGCCGACTTATGACCACTCCCCCCATGCAGCCTTGATTGAAAAAGACCGAACCATAGTGGGCGGATGCTTGCAGGCCGCGTCGTGCGCGATGACTTCAGCGATGACTCTGATGATGGCTGAGCAGGGCTGGCTCTGCCAACATCCGCGGGACAAAGCCAGGCCCATCTTCTATTAAGTGCAATTGTAGGCTCCAAGCTCAGCTTTGCTTATCATTGTTATGAAGGTGCTGGGAGATAGTGATCCCGTGATGCTTAGATGCGGCCAGGCTTATATCTGCTGCAGCCCTGACAGAGACCTGTGCTCAGACGTTTCATCGGCACGGACGACCAGAATAGATTGTAACCGTATCTATCCATACGCAAGCCTTGTAGAAGGTCAATGCAGCCTGGACTAACTAAGCCCGTCATAAATCTCTTGTTGTGATCCCCACAAGGGCAAGAAGGCTGGCCCCTATACAGCCCGTGGGGCTTAACAAGCGTCCGCTATGTACATATATCGTCTGACAACTGGAAGCGGCACAGTCAGGGTGGCCTGTCCCCGTGCAGGGATGCGCGCGTGCCATCGCTTGATGTTGGAGACTTTAATGCCTGTGGAAGGCCGGCATAGTTGGCAGCTTCCGATCTGTCAGAGGTGTACCCTGAAATCTCAGGGCTGTAGCCCAGACCAGTATAATTTGAAAGGGCACCTCTGCGAATTCATAATGCAATTACATTACATCGTTATGTGAATGCCTGACTGGAGCACTTTGTAATCAACCTTGCGATAGCAGCAGCAACAGTAACAACAGAATCCTATGACACTTATCTTGAAGCAGGTGTGGTCGCAGATTGTAGCGTCAGCGGGGCCAGAGATCCTTTAGGGATGTCTAGCGCGCTGCGGAAGAAAGCCATCAGCATGCACGACTCTTTTGCTCAGCTGTCCCGTTGCAGCTCTGATAATCCATTTTGCAATAATCCCTTCATTCCTTTCTTGGCATGGACTGGTCTAGAGTTTGTTTGGTTGGGTATTCACACATGAGGTTTTGGAGCCTCCCCATCTTCAGAACCACTGTATGCCTGTGTTCTGGGCGTTCTTCGAGAGATCTCCCATAAGGACTAGTACCCTGTATGAATTCTGGAAAAGCAACTCTGAAGAACAACGTAAAGTGGAAGGACCCCCACACTCAGAGCCCTTGACCTTTTACCTGCAACTCATACAATTCCAAGTCTGAACTTCTCAAGTCTCGAGCACGGAAACTTCCCTAAAGTCCTGATCCTATTTTCCGCCTTGCAGGGAGGAACCCATGACCAAGAATCCCGCAGCCTTTGCCTTTGCCAGGGCTTGCAAGGAGGCGTTTGAACACACATCCTTGATCTTTAAAGCAGATGCTTCGCCACTGTTCCCGAACTTGATATGCATATCCCTGCAATCCCCAGGTGTCCGTGCGGTGTTGGTCATCTCAGTTAAAGATCCTTGAGAGTTGCACCATGAAAGTCAGATAAAGTCAGCCTTTGGCGGCTGCTCCATGATCTGGGACCTTGGCGAGGGCAACTTCGAAGGCGAATGGACCGGTTGCTTTTGCCCGTTCGCAAGTTGAAGAGCTTGCTAAGCCACAAGCAGATGTCCAGCGCACCGGGCCCCATGACTTCGGCTATCAATATGGGCAGAAACCCCAGAACAATAGCTGCCTAGATGGCAAGAATCCATCAATCCTACTGTAGTTGTATACATAGCAAGAACCGATAGAATCCTGGGTGCTTCGTTCGGCAAGCAACTTAATCCTACACGCTTTCGTTTATAGAGCATCCTGGCCCCAGCTACTTACATGTCAAGTCCCAATAGTCCAAGCTGAAGGATGGCAAACTATAGGGAATCTACAGGGGTTATATAGGGATTTGCGGGATATATATATATATATACATATATTGGGGTTATATAGGTATAATGGAAAAGAAAATGGAAACTATAGTGACTAAAGGATTATTGGATCCTTGCCAAACACCCTTGTCACCTAGCTGCTTAGGTTTTTAAGTTCCCGGCAAGTCCATTTGCTGTGGGCAATCTACAATGGCGGTTGAGCTTTTAACAGTTTTGGAGATTTTGGGAGGTGTCTGGAGTCTGAACCTCACCTAAAGCTAAGAAAGCCGAAGGACCAGCGTTTTAGAGTGTCTTAGTTCGTCCCAAGCACTCATCCCAAAGGTGCGAAGTCACGTTCCAAAAGTTTCAGCCTGTGGCCTTTCCGCCAGATGGGCCAGACAGAGGACGCACTAGAAGCGCAGCATGGCACCTGGTGGAGGACGGTTGACGACAGTTAGGTTTGAGGAATTCGGGCTGAGGACAACAAGCTGGGGTGCCCAAGACACCCCGAGGATGCATGGGGATCATAGGGGCCATAAGGTTGAGGTTTAGGGTTTAGGGTAAAGGGTTTCGGATTTTGGGTTTCGGGTTTACGCTCCCCAAAAAGAAGTCCCAAGAAAGGCGCAAGATCTTCCATGTGTCAGCCAGGCCTTATGAGGTTGCATGCTAATTGCTTTGGGAAGGTAAAATTTTGTCAATTGGGTGCTAGGGTCTATAGTCCCCCTTAAGTATATAGAATATGGGGTATATAGGATCTTATTACAAGATACCCAAAGCCATATTCTATCTACTTAAGGGGGACTATAGGGTATTCTAGGGTTCCTAGGGTTGCGGCTTGGCGATGAGTGAGGGTTTGGAATGAAGGGCCTAGGCTGATGAGGATGGACTGCAGGGATTGCCGTGTAGCGTTCGGGGATTTGGATTTAAGGGCTGAGGTTTCGAGCTGGGCCCCAATTTTCAAAATAATTTCCTAATGCCTTGAATCGACGGAATATAAGAGAGCGCACAACGCTGGTCAACATCTTCAGGTTGCCAAACCCCGAACCCGAAGCCTTGAGCAGCAGTAAACCCTAAGCCCTAGACCGTGAGCGCCTGTAGAACCCCAGGTTGAGCCGAGCAGACGTAAAGGTCCGAGGGGGCTAAAAATCTAAACCCAAAATCCCTAAACCCTAACCCAAAAAAAACCCTAAACCCTAATCCCCAAACCTCGCAGGAGCTGCCCGCACAAGGGTGAGGTCATCATCCGTAAGCAGGTCCTCCTCACATCAAACGAGATCACCCGCGCACGATGCTAAGCTTCAGGGTTTGCACTGTTGTTTTTCAAAGTTATCCTGTAGAGTCCTCAAAATGTTCTCTCAGAAGGGCACCTTGTTTGAAAAATCCCTATCTTGCAGTCTACGGTCGTCAACTTCTGCTGGAAGTTTCTCAACACTAGCGGCGCGCACATTTCCGCAACATGCTCTACTTTGATGACCTGCAAAGGGGTCACCATTTTGAGAGCCCAAAACCTATGACATCCTTATGCGGCGGTTTTTGCCATGTGATACCAGTTTCCATTTCATTCTCCATGTTCTTAACCATTTGATTTGTCCATTATTCTCTAGAGACCACTACATATCCTTATACATTAAACAGTCCCATGGCAAAACATCCCGCCTGTCTCTTGCTGGCCGAGGTTCCGTTTGGACAGCTTGCGGCGCGCTCAGGACATAGAGGCTTGCGCAACCGTGGGAGCCTAAACAACAATCAGTAACAAGAAAGGCTCTCCCCTATAACTCCTATGAAGCCGCAGTCGGGTGGATCTCAAGCCCCATGACATCTCATCATGTTCGACACCACATTACGATTGTTGCTGACGCATGACGGCTCAGGCTTGCACGCAGGATTGATATTGACAGTTCGCAGACTGGAATACCAAGCTTTGCAAGGCGTAAGGTATACAGGGTCAGCAGGACTTGAAGTATCAACACAAGGATCCCTAAACGTTAAGATCTAGAGACATGCAGTATCAACTGTAACACCAAAGGAAAAGGCCGGGTTGCTCATGACCTGCTGTAACTTACTGGTGGTTAGTAGGGAATAAAGGAATATGATCCCGATATAGTCCCTATAAATAACCCCTAAATAATCCCTATACAATCCCGATATAATATATTTCCATATTCCTTACTAACCCGCAGTAAGTAGTCAGTGCCTGAGGTCTTGCAGGCAGGACCTCTGAAGGCCGCCGAATGAAGGGTTTGCTGGGTTTCATAGGCGTATAGTCCCCTAAAGCAGATAGAATGTTGGGTTTGGGGTCCCCCTTAAGTAGATACAATATGGGGTATATGGGGATCTTATTATAAGATACCCAAACCCATATTCAATCTACTTAAGGGGGACTATAAGTGTTTGGATGTAGTGTTTAGGGTTCAAGATTAGGGTTCGGGGTTCGCTTGATTTAGGGTTGGAGGTTCAGGATTCGGGGTTGCAGGATTTTGGATTTAGGGTCCGAGACGGGGCACAGTTTGGGGTAAATTAGGGAATCCTGTACGCCCCAATGCAGCCAGACATTTGCAATCCTCACACGTCCTCGGTGGGCCGGACGCCCGTATTTCAGGGTTTGAGCCTTGAGGTAGGAACTTCGAGTTGTCGGGCTTTCGGGCTTCAGAATTATGGATGACGTTTTAGGGCTTGTTTGGACCCCACTAGTATGTGGAACAATTGCCACTATGGGCTTCATGTGATGATTTACCTACTGTTGGGGTTCAGGTAAAGATTGGTTGTAGAGTTTTGGTCCAGCTTCGTTGAACTTGAATTTGTTGTGGGGCCGGGGGGGCCTTGAAAGAAAGTCCCAGTAGATAAAGAACAGTCGTAGAACAACGGCCTAGAGACACCTTTCATGAAGCATGCTGCCAAGCCAGAACTCCCTGAGCACTAAGCAGCTTACCTCCTAACCCTTAAAATTAGTGCTGCCGAAGCGACACGTAAAAACCCTAAGCCTAAACACCAAATCCTTGATTCTGAGTCGAAATCCCTGTGTTATCCCGCACCCTAAGCTTGAACCACAGTACGAAAATGGGAGGCATTTCAACAGTGCGGGTGCATCGGTATATATCCCCAAGGGTGGTATTCCGTATGATGGGGACTCCCAAGCACCCAGGCTCCCAGAAAATAGCAGCCCCAACATGGCATGGATCTGGGCAGGGATCCGTAATTTCTGAACAGATCTGAATACCCCCAAACCCTAAACCCAAAGTGCCTCAAGCGTGCGTCTTTGGTTCAGGTCTTCAAAGGCGGGCTGGTTCGAATGCCGCTCCAGGCGAAGTTGCTAGGAATGTAAAATTTGGGTTATAGGTGCCATGTAGGGAAACAAAGGGCGGTTTGTTTTGGGTGGGCGAGATAAATCGTGAGTATTGACATTGTCATATGGGGATATGTAAAGCGATTAGTAACAAGTTAATTCAAAGCAGCACGCACACCGGGGCTACATGTCTTTTATGGCGGCATGATGTAGGAGCTTCACCACTTGACTAGAGTTCTACATGGAGCACAAAGGGATGATCGTGGCAATAATTCGGGCTGCTACATTAGCATACAGGATCCAGGGTCAACATTCATGTTGTAATCCCTTAATATGTTCCCGAAGGTACCCTCATTTTGAGGATCCTTCAGCCTTTTTGGGTCTTAAGTGGGCTCAGGGCAGCTTTTGGAAGTTCTTTTATTCGAGATTATGTGTCGCTTCTGATGTATGTGACGGTCTGTGCAATTAGGGTGACACGATTTGCTGGCATATTAGACCGGCACTTAGGTTGAGGCAGTAAGTCGGAGAGAATGAACGCCACAGTCCAGCCCTGGAAGGTATAAAGTTGACAGACGGAATCTCTAGCTCCAATTTGAGCCAACTGAGGATTTTTGCGACTTGGCGGAGTGTCTTGACGTTTTTGGTTTCAGGCTCGCGGCTTCAGGGTTCTGAGCCCTAGGTGCTTCCTGACTCATTCTCCGCGGTTGGAAATCCCAACCCAAAACTCTGATTGGCTTCTGTGTTGCTTTGTTCTTGTGCGGCTTCATGTGTCACACCCAAATGCACAACCTAAGACTGCAGACCTTCAATCCTAAACCCTCAGCCCTGCACAGCTCAATGACTCTGAGCCTTGTTCGGGGTTTCGCAGTCGCTCATGGTTCTGAGTTGCCAGGAATAGATCTGATTGGCAGAGAACGACTAAAGCCCCCTGGACCCTGTACACCCTACTGTATGAAATCCATATTGCCTGAATGTTCTTTTTATTTCTCCGCTACATAACGTACGAGTCCTGAGCCTAAACCATATACTCCCCATGTAGCCCCACCCTGAACCCTCAGGGACTCAATACCCCAGATCCTTAAACCCAACCCTGCCAGCCCCGCGGCTGGGTGACCATCGATGCAACGGCCATTGGTGGACCTCTGTACCTCCAAAAGGTATCTGCCACAGCTTTCTGTTTCAGCGTTGGGGTTTACAGGCTTTGGGGGTGTGTAGGGTCTAGGGTGTATGGGGTTCAGAGTTTGTAGGGTTTAATAGGGTTCAGGGAGTATGGCCATCAACCCTATAGCCTATAGACCCTAAGCATACTTAACCTTAATGCGATGCGCCCCGTGACAGGGGATATGTATGGATATATGAGTATGTGGATGCACAGGGTTAGGCTTTTCGGAGTGTAGGTTTACGGGGTGCAGGTCTTCGGGTTTCAGGGAGCAGCATTCGCGAGTTGCTTTGACCATGTTTGGAAGGGCTCACAGAGTGCTTCGGGTTGCGGGGTGCAGCATTTCCGCACGATTCAGGGTTCCAATTTATGCGAAATTCCAGTCTTCGAGGCTCAGGGTTCCCGGGTAAGGGGTGCACCCGGTTTTGGGTTCAGGGGCTTCGGGCTAAGAATTTGGGGTTGCTTAAGCCCGGGGTTCGTGGGCGGTTTATGTACCGCAGCATACTTCAGGTGTTCCCTCCATCGAGAAGTTGTGGCATCAATAGAGGATGGTAGAAAAGAAGGTGAACAATGAAATGGAAACTGGCGTATGCATGTCCGCGCGCTTTCTAAAATTGGAGCATCACCAGGAAAAACTGGGAGCCATGCAAGCAAAATGTTGATGTTTATCATGCTGATGGAGTGCTTTCTGTGCATTTTCCTGATTTTTCAGCATGCTTAGCAAGTGTTGCAGGAGTACAGGTTTCGTGAATCTTCTTCGTCAAAATCTCCGGTGCAGGTGGCCCCGCTGCCTCACGCCCCTACCGGTGAAGGCCGAGGGCCCAAGGCCGCGGGGGACAGTTCAGGAAGCATCGATGCATGTGGGGGTGCCATGCCCAGAATGTTTCTTTCCTTCCAGAGGCATTGCAGTCCAGTTCTAAATCTAAGCCTAGCCGCTGAATTCCAGACACTGAATTCAGAGCTCAGAGCCCCCCATCCCAAAACCCAAAGCCACGACGCCCTGGAACCCAAATCTTAAGCCCTTACCCCCCAGCCTTACACAGGCGCCGCCGAAGGCGCCACCAAAGACAGCCTTTGAGGCCAGCAGCAAAGCTTATGACACGCGGTTGAGGCTTTTGAGGCCAATTCAGGGGCTCAGGGGTAAGGGCTTAGGGTAAAAGCTGAACGTCGCCAGAAGGACCCCGACTTAGGGGTACCTATTTTTCAGCAATTGCAGCAAGAGTAGGTGAGCCTGGGGACCACGCAAACGAATACTGCAAGAAGATCAATGGGTACTGTACAGCAAGGGCACAGGAAGTGTTAGAAAGATACGGCAAGCACGAAAGTTAATTCAAAGTTAACTCAAAGCCGAACAGCAGCTTGACAGAAGAATGGGTAGAGTAGCTAAAAAAGACTTAGCCTTTGCAGCACTCACTGGCAGCACTTGAGTGCGTCGTTATCTGCAAGCAACGGCCCTCAAGGCGCCGCCAACGAAGGCTCAATTTCAAGTGCCCGAGGCATGCTGCCTACAAAGGGATAGATGGGGGCTCTCTGGTTTGATGGAGAGATGATGAGCATTATTATTGTTGTCACGGTTTTTGACTCATCCCAATGTCTGTTGCTGTTGCCGTTTTGAACTTGTCCTGGTTGTTGACCATTGTGATTGCGTAGACTTCATGGTGCACGGACCTTCGCAGGGCCCGTGTTTTCAAGATCCTTGTAAAGGAGGGGCCATTGGGAATCCATTTCCTTAAAGGGAGACCCTAACCAAAAGGGGGCCGACCTTATGGCGAGTTTTGGGGTTGTTCTGTTGAACGGCTACCACATGCAGGTGTACATAAAACGTAATGGTCCTTAAGGGAATTTGCCTTCTTTCAGACTTTGGAATGAATGCATTGTGCCCAGTTATAAGGGATATGTATGGATATATGAGTATGTGGATGCACAGGGTTAGGCTTTTTGGAGTGTAGGTTTACGGGCTGCAAGTTTTCAGGTTTCAGGGAGCAGCATTCGCAAGTTGCTTTGACCATGTTCAGAAAGGCTCACAGAGTGCTTGGGGTTGCGGGGTGCAGCATTTCCGCACGATTCAGGGTTTCAGTTTATGCGAAATTCCAGTCTTCGACGCTCAGGGTTCCCGGGTAAGGGGTGCACCGGTTTTGGGTTCAGGGGCTTCGGGCTAAGAATTTGGGGTTGCTTAAGCCCGGGGTTCGTGGGCGGTTTATGTACCGCAGCATACTTCAGGTGTTCCCTCCATCGAGAAGTTGTGGCATCAATAGAGGATGGTAGAAAAGAAGGTGAACAATGAAATGGAAACTGGCGTATACATGTCCGCGCGCTTTCTAAAATTGGAGCATCACCAGGAACACTGCCAACTCTTTCAAGAAATCCGTAATCTGCACATACACGTCCCGTGACGGCTCACTGGGGGGAAGAGCCCACCAAGCCTTGAGTGAATTCGGCATCAAGACAATCTCTGCAACAATGGTTCCAACTTCCACCTCAGACATGCGGCAGAGCTCGAAGATTTTCCCGGGATATGCATCAGCCTCGGCAGCAAACCTTCGCCGGCGCTCGCCCATGCCAAACAAGACCGCGCAGAAAAGGACCTTTGCGTATGTCTCGCTGGGGCCCATGCCCTCCGAAAGATGGTTTTTATACCCATGTCTGGGTATGCACTGAAAATCCAGAACCAGATCTTTTCCAAACTTGCCTGACCAAAATCCAAGACGAAGGATTGGCACTCGAGGTCAATCTCAGACAATCAACTGAAATTTTCTATTTCCTCCTACAAATCACTTCCACTCATACCCTAGCTTGGAAAACACATGGAAAGAATGATGAACCCGTGCTGCTTGATGACCTACTGCAGCGTAGTACCCCAACCACCAACTAAGTTCAAGCTAGGTGCTTCTATCGGTCTCAACTGGAAGATGCCGATCCGTATTGTGTGCAAATCACAGGTCCGCCTGAGAAGACGGTTCATTGCACGTCGATTGGGCCACAGAATATATTCACCATGCGTGAGTTATCATCGACGTCAGGGTCACGCAGGGCATCTTGAAAAAGTTGCAGTGGTCTTCCATTCCTTTCCGCGAAAGACTCATCCTGAACTCCCTGTTCATCGAGACTACCCTGATCCAAATCACCCTCCTGGCCCCTATCAGCTTGAGCAAGACGTGCAGCAACCCGTTTGGATTTGGTGCCTCGTCTGGACATGTTGGCAGGTACCCCTGACAAAATGCGATGCAGCGAATTGCCTGAAAATATGAGAGCTTGCCGGGCCATAGTGCTTCCATCTCGAAAGCAGCGGCGCTCTGAAGCCTCAGTCGAAGATGCCAAAAAGGGCCTCCACCACTTTGGCAACAATTTCATCGTCAGAATAAGATGAGCACTCATCACATTGTCCCATGACACAGAAATGCATTATGTCGGGTTGCCAGGGATCTGAATTGCGCATCTTCTTGTGCATTCTCTGTCTGCCTCCCGCTAAGAACCCGCTCCCAAAACTATTGTGCCTGCTGCTTGCCCTGTAGAGCGCAAGCCCCAAATTCTATATTTCTGTGCATTATGAGCGCCTACCCTGAAGTTTGTTTCCCCTGGATTAGGCCAATCTGAGACCAATCACGGACCAATTGAAGGACCAATCAAGGACCAATTCAAGGACCAATCATGGACCAAGCCAACACCAATCCCAACCAAACAGACATACAACCCACAGCTGATTGTAAGACAAGGCTGATGTGAAGCCAAAGGTTGACCTTGGGGAGTTTGTGCAAGTTTTCGGGCTGAGGGCTTGAGGTTACGTTGACCGTCCGGGTTGAGGATGCGGTGCTGTTGATGTCACTGCTAGTGAGATGTTGCTTGCAGAAAGTTGATTCAGGATGCCCCCTCCCATTTTGCTGTATAGCGGTTTGGAAGTATCATGAGGCTAGGATCACGTTTTTCCATGTCAGCACCGCGTGAGACTTTCTCATACTCGGGGTACCCTAGTGGATTCCTGGGGTACATGAAGATTACAAAGAAGCATTTGTGTCCTCGTCAAGTATTCTAACTGGACAATCCCTGAGAAGTTCCCACTTGCACCTAAGCTAGGTAATTGTGAGCTGTCATTGGAACAGCCACACAAACAGCGTCTTACTTAAACCTTGGTGCCCTCGATATCCGTGATGATGCTTCCACTTTTAAATGAGTGTGCTGAATCCCACTGGCCAACAATCTACCAACCTACTTCCCTGCTGGAACCTTGTACACCCCCTCCCATATGGCTATTTGATGCCAAGCTTTGGGAAGGGCTCTGGGCTTCCGTATCATGAAGGATGATGATAAGTTCGTAAGGTTTTCCAATTACAGCAAGACACCCCACAGAAGCAATAGAAATCCTGGTGGCGCTAGTACTGGCTGCGCTCAGATTTGGGGTCACTGGCACCGGGCGTTCCTCGATGCCTTCTGCAACATCAAAGACCTCAGCCTACGCTGGCAGGCCTAAAACTGGAACGAGTATGCTGCATTAGTCCTGATCTCAAACAAGTTGAAAGAAATGAGCAGCTTAGGCAAGATGGTATGTCTGAAATGTAAGATGTTGTTGCACGTGCCCCACTCAGGATTGGAGCCCTTGACATTCTTGAGTGTGCAACTGATAGTAAACAACACTCAGGATCTTTTCTCTGAATAGGTAAAAGGGTGTTTTTGTTAGCAGTGGTTTGGCAGTGATGAACATCACGGTAGTTGGCATCGTAGCGGTCTCGACAGCAGGAAGACATGAATGATCACAATGACCGCCGATTGGGATTATATAGGGATTTATTTTGGGTTATATAGGGATAATGGAAAAAAGCATGGAAGCTACAATAGGGAGACTTACATTAAGGTATTCGCCCGCCTGTCAACTTGGAGGGCAGAAGCGAATGATTGAGCCATTGCCAATCCTTAACTTTTTGGACATGGTCATATTGATGACACTCGCTGTTGTTTTCCATTTCTTTGGAGTGCTACTTACTCGCAAAACCTGTATGACCTTAAGCACTGCTTATGCGGGAGTGGGGGAATAGATACAGTGACCAGTATTGGGGTATATGCTGACGCCAGCGCGTTTAATCGGAAGGCTTCGTGCAGATCCCAGCCTAACAGAGCCAAAAAGCTTCACCACAGCGCGCAACTGGATTTAAGGCATCATGGCTCCAGAGCATGTGAAGCAAGTTTCACTATGGTTCTTGTCAGGGCACACTGTCAGGTCCCTAGCAACCCTGATGGTCATCAGTGAACCCCGTAATCCTTTCAAGTGGCCGTCTTTTGGAGAACTCGCATTCTGTGGGCATGTCTCGACATTATAAGTCCCTTTTGGAGGTTCTAACGAGGATCCTGCTACTTTGCACGCTTGGGCATGTATTTTGGGGCTCTTCCGACAGGCTTCCGGCAGCGCGTGTCCGAAGTAACACCACGTGTGGATGCAGGTTGTCGGCTGCGAGCGGCACTGTGGGCGGCATCCTGTGGGCTTGGAGCGGCAAGCTGCTGATCCAACGTGGAAACTGTATGCCCGCCAAGCTGTGAGAAAAAGCCGAAGGGCCTTCTCATTTTCGGTCTTTCGTGTAGTAAAGTACATGGCTGCGAGGACATGGCTAGGCGCAACATGTGTGTTGCCTCAGGCAGTGGCGTGTTCCAGCTACATTGTTCCTGCATGTGGGGTGGACAATCCAGTCGAGGGCATTGGTGCTAGTACTTTATGTGACACAGCTTCTGGTCTTGGTTGTTGCGATCGTGATATACAGATTATACATTGGCAGTTATTGTTGATGACACAAAAGCCCCGGCTGTGCATGAGTGCGCTGGCCCAAGGTCCTTTCCGTAACCGTACCTGAGCCTAAGGGTCAAAGGCACCACCCCGAAAATAAGCGCGGCCAACAGGGTCTCGGAGATGTAGACGGCAAGCACCCAAGAGATCACTTGCGGGAACCCTGGACGTCGGCATCATCCACACAGTGCGCGCAAGCCAAACCTGGAATTTGCATTTTTTTTTCATGGATTACATTCTTTGCTTGAAGTCCCCCGCACGGCTCCTTAATATACTTCGTTTATAAGACCGTATTTTAATTAACACCGTCTTGCTTAGAGTGAACACCCCCTTCACCCTTTAATATGAAGGCAAGTCAGGCTGCCTCCCAGCAATATGAAATATTACCAGTGCTCGCCCAATTTTTGGCGGGCCATGCCGCGGACCCGTTCGCCAGCCTAGCGCCGCTTCAGGCCAGGGTGCCCTGAATTCAAAACCATAAGAGCCTTCCATGACATGGACGCTCGATGTAGTTGGCAGTCAGGTGAGGAGTAAATAGGGATGTTAGCCGGTTTTGAGGTTGTGAACGACAGTGTTCTCAGGAAGAATCCGTCCAAGTCCTTCAGACAGCCCGCTACCACTTATACAGTGACGCTTTGGAGTTATGTGTTGAATGTAAAGTCATTTGAAGTGGGTCTCCAGTTTCTGTGCGTCGTTTGTCCTCCCAAACCCAGAAAGACATGAATCCTA